AGGACCTTATTTGGGGACGGGCTTTTCACAGAGGTAATCAAGGTAAAGCAAGGTCCTTAAAGTGGACCCTAATCCAACATGACTGGCGTCCTTATAAGAAGAGGAGATTTGGACACAGGGACACATAGCAGGAGGTGACAGGAAGAGACACAAGGCGCAGACACCCATCTACAAGGCAAGGAGAGAAGCCCAGAACAGATTCTGCCCCACAACCGGCAGAAAAAAACCTACCCTGCCAACACTTGGATTTCAGACTTCCAGCCTGCAGAACAACGAGACAATCAATCCCTGTTGTTTGAGTGATGCAGTTTGTGGTACCTGGCTACAGTGGCCCCAGCAAACTGACACAGGGTCTGTAGGGCCAGAGGGATCTGCCCACAGGGAGCCCATGCCACAGCTCTAACCCGTTCCCTGGTGCTTGGGAGCCCAGAATCCATGCCCAAAGGGCCTGGTCCTGCGTGCAGGGCCCGAGCAGTCCACTTCCCTGGGTGGGACCTCCCAGGGGGACCACACCCCAAGGCCTGAGGGCAGCTCCTGGAGGAGAATGGGGAAGGAGCTCAGGTTTGAGGGCTGGTGTGTCCACAGGACACCCCAAAGACCCTCCTCAATGGCAGACAGGCCCAGAGGCAGGAAGGGCAGGGGGAGACTCTGGACCAGGGACGTCCGCTGTCTGCCTTCCCTGGGCCCTACAAATGCCAGGGTGTCCCCATTCCAGCCTGGTTCCATCACAGCTGTGTCATCTCTCATGGCAACAGCATCAGGGGCAGGCAGGGGGCAGGCAAGTCTGTCCTTGCTGTGTCCCCTTCTTGTACCAGGATGACGAGAAGCTGTGGATCCAGAATAGTATCCGTATTCCTGGATTTTCCCAACCGTCTCCCTACCCAGGCTTGTTTCCTAATCAGGACTTGGCTGTCAGGCCATAGCCTCGGGCAGCAACCCTTTCTGAAAGCCCTGGGTTCCTTGCGGAGGCCCTCAGAGCACTGCCCAGGGACTCAGCAAGCATGGCTGCCCCGCCTCCTCAGCGTGTGACCCAGGCCCAGGAGAGGCCACCCACACAGAGCGGCGGCTGGGAGTGGAGGTGCCCCATGCTTGGGGCTGGGACAGCTCCTCTCCCGGGCCCCACCACCGCAGCCCAGACCGCACCGCCTGACAAGGCCAGGCAGGGCACAGGCCACCGGCAGACTCCACCGCTCCTCCCGGCTCAGGGGGAGTGCTGCCAGCCAGCATGTGACTCGTGGGCAAGAGCCTTCCTCAGAAGCGGCCTCTCCTCCCCGAGCATTACCCGCAGCTGTGCCTGCCTCTACCCAGCCTGGGAGGCGCCACAGAGGCAACAACCCTCGGAGATCAGTTCCAGGACCCATGGGCGTCACTCCCCTGGGGTGTGGGCACAGGGCACACGCTCGCCACGGTTGTGCCGGAGCTGCCCACCTGGGGCGCGGCCAGGGCCCTTGGGATGGCAGCGGCGGCTCAGCACCTCTGCCCTTCTGCAAGGACCCTTCCCCGGCCCCTCCTGCAGCCCAGCCTAGTGCAAGGACCCCAGCCCTTCCTCGGGACCACAGGGCCATGTTGCTCCCGTCCCACACCCACTTTCCCCAGCTGAAGTCACGGCCGGCCCAGGGGAGCTGGTCACCCACTGCGTCCACTGCACCCCGGACACCCCAGGCGGGGACTCCTTAGGCCTCAGGGCCAATGGCCCAAAGGTTCCGAAGTCCCTCGGTATTCTTACCAGATACTGATTTTTAAAAACAAAACAAAGCAGAAACATCCAACCTGGGTCCTGCCTAGAGTCCCTGAGAAATCTCTTGGGGACACACTTCCCCATCAGGGTCCAGGGGGCCATGTCTCTCCTGAGTGTCTCCTCCCAGGTGCGCCCGGCAGTGCTGACCCTCCTCTCTCAAGTGCCCTTCAGGGTCCCAAATCCTCTGCCATGATGGACACATCGGCCACCTCCTTCCTCCTGCAGTCCGGTTTCCAAGGATGACCCCACAGTCCCCTTTGTGGGATCAGCATGTGAAGCGGGACTTTGTCCCTGCTCCCATCAAGGGGGGGTCCACCTGCACCCCGAATCTGGGCCAGCCCGCGGCTGCTGCGGCTGGTCCAGTGGGGCAGAGCCGAGGCAGTGTGGCGGGCGGGGCAGCCCCTCCTTCGCCCTCTGGGAAGACACGTGTCAGGCTGAGACACTCAGGGTGGACTTACGGGGTGGGGAGAGAGTCCCTCAGCGGTGACAGACCACGTGGGGGCTGAGAGGAGGCCCCGCCAGCAGCGGCTGTTGTCTGCCGCCATGATGTTTCAGGGCGCTGTCACTCTGTTAAACGGCGGTAGATACTTTAACCATCTTAGCAGACCTGAAACAGATCTAGGATTCCAGTCTACCAGTGTTTGTGTTTTGGGTTTCTGCTTTCTCCATTTTATGACCTCCCTACATCACTGCCCACGGCTTTTCCAGAAGTCCAGCTTATAACAGCCAGTCTGTGCACGGCAGTCTCATTACAAAACCTATTTATCTTCCTTAAATATTCCAGAATGGTAAAACTAAAAATATTATCATTAGTCTTTCCACAGCATTCTACTTCATATTTCTTTAACCTGAGTTTAAAGAAAAAGAAAATTATACATATTATATATATTTATATTTATATTTTTGTATATATACACACACATACACACATACATACAGATCATACTGAAGGTCTGCCTTTTAGAAAAAATGTCACATAATCATCAGTTTGTTTCCTTCTTTCTGTCAATATGCCCCCACCTGGGCTCTGGGTGCCTCAGGACACCCCCCACTCACTCCCCTCTTCCTCCTCACCGGGGTCCCAGCCTCTCCTAATGGTTCCTCCTTCCTCCCCAGTGTTATCGGTTGTTTGACAGCACAAGTCACTCACCGCTTATTCAATCAATCCCCCAGCCGTCAGCCAGTATTTGCTGAGTGGGCTCTGCCCTGTGGGGTGGGCGCCCTCCCAGGAGCTTCCCCAGCCCCGTCCTCCCCCTCCCCTGTCCAGCCACGAGACTTCCCGTTCTGTCCTTCTCCGTCTCCCAAAGTCCCTGTACTCTCAGGTATAAGCACCTTTCCACTCTCCCCTGGCCCCACCACAAGCGGCCAAGCAGAGACCAGCAGTCACTGGGCCCATGGAAGGTCTGTGGTACACAGAGGAGGGGACACAGCTGTGGCCAGCTACCTTTTTGAAACTCATGGTTTATTAATACTCAGCAAAACCTTTTTAGCACAGTCATGCTACTTTAATCATCGGATGGATGCCCCTCCCTGACCACATTCTAAGAAAACCACGAAAGGCATAAATAAAGCACAGTACCTGACCTTGAAGAGCTCACCTTCCGGATGTGCCATGGGGACCTGGACCAGGCAGGCCACTGGGGCAGGACAGAGGGGAGCACAGGTGCAGTGGGGGGAGACGGGAGTCCTGAGAGGGGCAGTTAGCCTACTCGTGAAGGACACACGTGAGCAGAACCTCGAAGGAGGAGGAAATTTGCCAGGTAGAGAAGGGGGAAGGGGCTGCAGGCAGCGGCACTGGGGGACCTAGAGGCAGGAAGCCTTTGCCTGGAGGAAACAGGAAAGGCCTGGACAGTGGACTGAGGGTGGGCTGCATGGGGCTGATTTCCCTGAGCGAGTCTAGTCTTTAACCCTGGCACTGAACCTGTGCCAAGTGAAGCTGACAGCTAAGGGCACAGTGGGGCGGCCTGAGGGCCAGGGTGAGGGTTTGAGAGCTGTGAGGCCTTGAATGCAGAATTTAAGGGAGTGTCAAAGAGCTCAATGATCAAGATAAATATTTCAATGCAACATGTAGGAAATAAAAATTAATGCAAAAATCTATGGTGAACAAAAACCCAAATTTTTAAATAAAGGCAGGATCTTACATGCATAGAAACAGAGTAGAAGGGTAGTTACATGGGGTGGAAATGGAGACATGTGGGTCAAAGGGTTAGAAGTTGCAGTTAGCAGGATGAATAAGTCCAAGGATCTAATGAGGATTGTCTTAGTTTGTTTTGCATTACTATAACGGAATACCTGAAACTAGGTAATGCATTTAAAAAAAAAAAAGGTTTATTCGGCTCATGACTCTGCTGGCTGGAGGACTGGGGGATCTGGTGAAATTCTCAGGCTGCTTCCAGGTGCGCGGAGACCACGGAGCGAGAGAGGAAGCGAGGGGGGAGAGCGGGAAGTGCCAGGCTCTTTTTAACAACCAGCTCTCTGGGCGCTAACGGAGGGAGAAATCGCTCACCCCTGCCGGAGGTCACTCATCTATTCCTGAGGGATCTGCCCCCACAACCCAACACCTCCCAGCAGGCCCCAGCTCCAATGTCAGGGACCAAATTTCCACACGAGATTTGGAGGAGACAAACATCCAAATTACAACAAGGACTGTAGTTAGTAACACTGCATTGTGCATCAGAAATTTGCCAAGAGAGTGGATTTTGGTTCTCTTCTCTCTCTCTCTCTCTCTCTCTCTCTCACACACACACACACACACACACAAGGTTTAACTATGTGAGGGCTTGGAGAAATTGGATAAGTTGATTTGCTTGACTAATAATGTTTGACTATGCACAGGTATATCACAACATCACACTGCATACCTTAAATAGATACAAAATTTTGAAAAGACAGGATTAGTATTACTGATGTCTCCTTTTGTTTCTGGCTCATTTTCACAGTTCAGAAGCAACTTTTCAAGCGTTCACAACTATGGGTATTCGGGCACTTGTTTTAGCCAATAATCTCCTTTACTTTATTTCTAGGGGAAACGAGAGAAAGAAAAAGTTTTCTTGTGCCAAAATCTCATTCATTCCTATCTGGGTAAACTCTTCTGACTACAAACTCCTTCCACCTTTTGGAAAATGAAAACATTCTTAATTGCACGCTCAGTTCTGGAGCTGGAAGCGGCCTTCACACGGAACGCTCCGCAACACCCTCTTCCTCTGTCACCGAAGGCCGGGCCGGAGGCCGGGGGGCGCCGGCCGGAAGTGTGGGCGGAAGTGTGCGCGTCCTGCCGGAAGCCACCGCGCTGGGCAGGAAGCAGCGATGATGAGGGGCGCTGGGCCTCCACCGCTCCCTGGATAAGCCCGGGCTTATCAAAGGAAGGTGAGTGGGGACGAATCTGGTCATTAATGGCATTTTCGTGGATTTCAAAGGAAAGGGGAGAGGGCAACTGGAACACCCCAGGATTTTCATTAAAAGCACAGCCAGAAACAGGCCAAGCAGCCCCTGGGCAGGTCCCCGAGGTCGGGGCAGCTCTGCCTGTGCCCTGGTTCCCCTTTGTAACCAGCCACATTGACTTCTTGGTCAAGCTGCCTTCTCCCCTGCCATCACTGACTCCTTCACTTTTCAAGATAATGATCATTTCGGAGGAAGTTTCTTACTCCTGGATCCTAGCCAAGAAGTGAAATTATTTTCCGAGTTTAAGGAAGATTTTCAAGTTTCTCCAATTTGAAAGGTTCCTATTTCAGTTCATTTTAAACAAAACTTCCCATGAGCAACAAGATTTTTAAATTGTGTGTTTCCATAAAAATGAATCATCTCGGCCCCCACCAGAGGACAGCACAGGGAGGGTGGGGGCTGCAGAAAGCACAAGAGGGGCCGCCCTGAGATTCGCTGGAGACATGGGGAGAAAGGGCCTGTCTGTGCTCACCAGCACTCTAGGGACCCCACAGCAGCCCCTGTGGTGGCCACACCTGCCATACCTGTGAGCTGATCTGTTTTCAGAACCATTAGCTGACCCATGCGAGCCAGAAGCCCAGCTGTGTGTTCAAAGCCGACAAATGCCTACTGAAGGGGAACTTAGGGGGAAAAGTTCAGAGGGAAGGGATTCCCTCTTTCCTGACCCTGAAAGAGATCCAACTGTAGCCTGGCTGGAAAGATTTAGACAAAAATCACATAACGCAGCTGGGCGCGGGGTCTCGTGCCTGTTATCCTAGCACTCTGGGAGGCTGAGGCATGCGGATCCTTTGAGCTCAGGAGTTTGAGAGCAGCCTGAGCAAGAGCGAGACCCCCATCTCTACTAAAAATAGGAAGAAATTAATTGGCCAACTAAAAACATATATATAGAAAAAATTAGCTGGGCATGGTGGCACATGCCTGTAGTCCAAGCTACAAGGGAGGCTGAGGCAGAAGGATTGCTTGAGCCCAGGAGTTTGAGATCGCTGTGAGCTAGGCTGATGCCACAGCATTCTAGCCTTGGCAACAAAGTGAGAATCTGTCTCGAAGAAAAAAAAAACAACCACAGAACGGAGAGGACAAAAGGTTGCACTTCATTTCTATGGTGTGGCCAACTTGCCTCAAGCCAAGAAATCTGCACTGGACTCCTACAACCCACCTGCTGGATTCCTGAGGTCTCCTCTGAGCCTCAGGATCTTCACTGGGACAAGAGGTGGGGCTGACAGAGTTGCTGATGTGCCTTCCCTCCCATCTGCACACCATCCTGGTTCACCAAATCTTCCTCCCCTTCCCTCCCACCAAGGCACCCCCCACGCAGGCTCCAGGGATGTCCCTACACAGCGAATCTTACCTGCCACCCACTAGCTTCAAAATCACCACTGAGCACCTCCCGAAGCACTTACCTGCAGGAAGCATCCAACCCACAGGGTCAGCTCCCACTCCTGAGCCCTTTGGGATCTCCCTCAGGCCCAGCCTGAGGTCCTTCCCTAACACTTGTCGTAGGTGGCTGGGTTCTTCAGTGCCCCCTCCCTGTGCCCCCTGCCCTTTCTCCCTGGTTGAACACCCTACCCAGCACTGAAACTGCCAATAACAGTACCCACCTCCCAAACCTCTTGTGGGTAAGGAGGACATAAGTTACCACCTGACAGCCCTGGACACGGTAAGTGTTATCCACTTACCTGTCATCATTATGATAATCATTACTGGGATTTCCCGCCACACCTACCTCCTAAGACCTACCTCTCTCATGCCCTGTGCTCCACAGGTTGGGCCCGGCCCCTGTTCTGGGCTTCCTGGCACCCCAGCTCACCTCACATCTTAGAACTTGGCATATTGCGTTGCGATGTACGTATATGTCATCTGCCTCACCAGCAAGCCTGTATCTTCATCTCTGTTTCCTGTGCTGCTCTACTAGTGGCTGCCACAGCATTGATGTTCAAGTTTAAGGAAGGAAGGAAGAAGGGAAAGGTGGGAAGGAGAGAGGAACGGAGGGCGAGAGGAAGATATCTATCCCATAGTGGGCACACAGACATTTACTGTCAACTTCTTCCTAAAGATACTTGATGAAGACATTAACTCAGCAGCCCGTTCTCCTAGGATCGGAGGCTCTGAGTATCACAATACTATTTGTCCAACCTGCACCCTCTCTGCTACAGCTTTCACCCGCCCTGTGCACCTTCTACCAACCTGCACCCTCTCTGCTACAGCTTTCACCCGCCCTATTCACCTTCTACCAACCTGCACCCTCTCTGCTACAGCTTTCACCCGCCCTATTCACCTTCTACCAACCTGCACCCTCTCTGCTACAGCTTTCACCCACCCTGTTCACCTTCTACCAACCTGCACCCTCTCTGCTACAGCTTTCACCCGCCCTGTGCACCTTCTACCAACCTGCACCCTCTCTGCTACAGCTTTCACCCGCCCTGTGCACCTTCTACCAAAAGAGAGCGGAGCGTTGAATCTGATATCAACATCCGCACCACCTCGCTGCACCACTCTAAACTCTGTCCACCCAGAACACCAACTATCTCACTGCAACGTGGTTCTGACGATTCCCACTAACTTGTTCAGGAAACAGAAGATCTCAATTTTCTCTGTAAGTAACGTCCTATGCATACCCTTCAGAAGAAAGGCTGGGGTGTGAACTTCCCAGCCACCGTTCAACTTGACCTCTTCACTTCATGGCCTTTGTTTTCTTTCAATCTATTAGGACTAGTGACATGGGCCAAAACTGCCTGGGGATGTGTCATTATGAGGACTGCCCTGCCACTGTGCTTTCCTTGGGTTGAAGGAGCACTGGGCAGTTTTGTTCAGAGAAGGACGTGAGCAGACTAACACCTTTAGTAATCCTTGGCAACCCATTGGAGATGCGCATCGATCACCCCTGACCTTTCCCTCAACTAAATAACCTCTATGTCCTTAATGTTTCTTCAAAAGGATCATTAACTCAGCAAGTGGGGAAAAAATGTTCATAGCGTTAGAGAACACAAGGAGGGAGCTGGCTCCCTCTTTAGTGGAGAAAGGTACAGCAGGATTTGTGGGCAGGGCTGTTTTATAGGCAGAAGGAGCTAAACATTAACATTTTCATTTTAGTGCAAATTTCAGTGGCACAATCACTCCTGGGGCAAATTCTCCACTTCCTGATCAACCACTAACTAGCTCTGAAAACATTACTTTTCATTAGATGATAAATCAGAAATTTCAGGGCATATTAGGCATGCTACCCAGGAGTAAACTTCTTAAGGAGTGACATTAAAACTAATGAAAAGGAAAATGTGCTTCCCCATCCCTTTTGCAACATTCAAAACTAAGAACAGTGATGATAGGATATTTCTGAAAGCGCAGTACCTTTGGGCAACACGACAGCAGAAGATATCTACAGAAGCTCAGTCATCCTGACAATTCCCACAGCACTTGTGTCCCTGGCCGGTTGGGTTTCTGTCTTGCCTTGGGATAGGAGTAAGCCAAGATCCAGAATGAAAAACTAACTTTTACATCCTTCACTCTTATGAAGTTAACTGACCAAAGCAACAAGGCACTAGCTCATGTTTGCACTTTTCTCTCCTGCTTCTTGGGCAGCACCAGTTCAGAGTGGCTGTGCGTTCCATCATGCCCGGCCCCTCTGTTGGGCAAAGGCACAAGTGCCAGAAAATCTGGTGGCCAAGCTCTGGCTTTCTGAAGCCCAGTGTAGAGTCTTCTAGAGGCAGAAAATCTGCGTCAATGAAATAAGTCAATCCAAATGTAACATATGTCTTCACTCTAGAGAAAGGGGTGTTAAGTTCAGAAATTCTTGTTTTTACAATGTCATGGATGTCATGGAATAGGTTATGTGTCTTTTATTCGCTATCATTGTATTTCTGATGAGAATAACTTCATTCATTCAATGAACATGAACTAGAACCTCCATGTGCTTGTCCCGGTACGAGGTGCTGGGAAACAATAGTGAACAGGAGACACTGAGCGGTCGAAGGAAAACAGAAATATCCACAAATGGATGCCAAATACTGGTCCTGAGCTTGCCCCTGAGTATTCTTCACGTCCTGCCAGGAGTCTGTGCGAGCAGGGTATGGCCGGAAGGAGCAATCAGTTCCTTCTAATTTTAAAAACAGCACAAAGTGGCCTTTAGGGCTTCTTTTTAGCAATAACATTTCATGAGTCTGCAAACATGACAAATTCAATGTCCTAGTCTGACAACAAGTGTCACCCCTAGAATTCTGAATAGCATCCACCCCTCAGGTCCTGGACTTTCACCTACACCCCCTGCTGCCAATCAGGCCCTGTTGGTGCCATCTCCTAATCTGATCAGGTGCCGCTGCAGGCACCCGGGACCAGGCGGGGGCAGACCAGCCTTTAGCCGGAGCCTGGATGGACGATCAGCCCCTTTTCTTCCGGAGGCTGGCTCTGGCCTTGTCCCAGTGGGTTGGTTGACATTTGGTATCAAGCTATGGGTAACAGATTGTTTCCTCTGAGTGTGCCTACAGGACACAATGCTACCATCAGTGGCTCTGGCACACCTGTGCTGATGTCTGAGTGCCCAGGAGAAGGGGGCCAGAGGGGCTGGGCTGGACCTCTGCCCACCTTCCCAACTGGGGTCTGGGGCTCCCACACTCAGGCCAGCAACACAATCCCCTAGAGGTTTTCTCAGAACAGCTCAGCAATCAGCCCGCCCAGTGCAGGCCGGGCTCTGGTGGAAGGGGCCCAGGCAGGACATGTAGCCCTGGGGACCAGGGCAGATTTCAAAGGAAGTAACATCTGAGACCTCAAGAACAAAGAAGGCTCGGCCAGGCAATGAAGGGGAGGATGAAGGGTGTTCCGGGGAGAGGGACGGGCATGAGCAAGCACCTGCCCTTGGTTTCCTGGGGACAGCAGGGATGGATGGTGAAGTGGCAGGGGTGGGGGGCTGGGGGACGGGAGCTGAGGCTAGAGAGTGGTCCAGGCTGACCCTGCCGGACTTCAGGCCAGTCAAGGAGTCAGGACATCATCCGGGTGGTGGGCTGAGCGTTGCACTGCCACTGTCAGCAGGTGGGGCTGGCCGGGCAGAGGGGCGGGGCTGACATCAGGTCCTGGGCCAGAGCCAAGCGACTGCCCAGAGGGAACAGGGACAGCCCCAGGGATCTGGGATTGAGGGGCAGGGAGGATATTAAGGAAGAAAAATCAGAGCTTTTTTTCTTTTTTTCCAGAAGCAAACTCAAAGGAGGCACTGTGAGTTAAAAAATAAACAGCAAAATAAAACTCTGACCGTTTGGGTCCCACACTGTTAAAAAGGTCATCAGTTACTAACTTTCTCTTGCTCCCTACAGCATCAAATAACATTTGGTGTCCCTCCACGGTGGTCCAAATCCATCTGGAGATGGCTACGCAAGTCTGTGTCTAGCTTTGCACGTCTTGTACTTCTGTGCTGGTTCTGCGTGTGTCAACTTTTCCTTCTCCCTGGGAGCCCTTGCTCGACCATTTTCCACGTCCACCTGGACTTCTCAGTACCCACTCTTGCCGATCTGGGGGCACTGGAGACACTGATCTCTTATTTTAAAACCAGAATCAGTGAGTGGACTTTGATGCGGAGAATTTTTCATTGCAGCCAACTTTTCCAGCGCGTCTGCATTCCTTCATTCCCCACGTGCTCCATGCCAGGGGCTCTCGTGTTAGGAGAACCGGATGCAAAGGGTGAACGAGCCTGGTTTGGGGAGCTTATCATTCAAGAACATTCCAAGGGCAGGAGGTGCTGTTCAGAGCACCAGGGCAGGTTGGTGGGAAGAGCACCCCTGAGGAAGGGCACACAGCCCATCTGCCTTCGTGGTGAACCCTGAGCCCAAGGTTAGAATTTCCCCCAAAACATCTCCGCCTGCAAATCTCTATTTCTCATTCCTTACTCCCAGACCCTTAAAATACTCAGTGCAGAGTCCAAAAATCTAAAAGCAAAAAACAAAACCACCATAAAGAAAACCCCAAACTCTTCCAACCTTCAAACTCCACCTTTTGACCTAAAAAGCAAAATGTTTCTAAAGCAGAACAAGCTCCTTTCAGCGGGAGAAAACTCCGAACTCTAAAAGGCGAGGAATCCAGCGTCTGTTCTCTACCACGTGAGCACCAAATACCAAGGAACCATCCCGGACCAGGAGGCCAGCCCGCACCAGCTGCTTCAAAGAGGCTGCTCTCTCCCGAAGGCTTAACACAGTGACCCCAGCAACTCGGAGGGGCAGCGGGGAGCTCCAGCGAGCGCGTTCCATGCCCAGTGCCAGACGGCCCTCGCCACGGCATTCACACCATTAAAATCCCATCTTCGGAGGCTGCCAAGTGTCAGCGGCTGCCCTGTCCCTCTTAAATAGCCATACTTTCATGCAACTAAAAAATAAAAAGGAAAGAAGGGGAAAGTTCACTAGACTCAAAAATGTGGAATAAACTGTACCTCTCCCCGCAGATAAATAAAACTGGCGCAGCCCTAGTGGCAAAGACTTCAAACAAACAGGGCTGCTTCCTCCTTGGCTCTGTGTCATCTTTGAGCTGAGGAGACGCATCCATCAGCAACTCTCCACATAGAAGCCCACAGCCCAGGGTCTCTGCCCTCCCCGGCCACCTTCGGGGCAACAGCTCCCACTGCAGCCCCAGGGGACAGTGGCTTTTCAGCCTGGTCCCCTCATCCTCCAGTTCGGGAGTTTGGAGACCTGAACCCTTTTCTTTTCCTTGGCATGTTTCATTTACAATGATTATGCTCAACAGTGTGAATGTTTACCATATGTTGGTTGTGTGGCAAAATATTCTGGCTCCCCTAAAAAGTCAGGTCGCTGAGTCACGCAGCTAGAGAAATCTTGGGGGAGGTCGTTAGCAGCAGCTGGGGCAGCACGGTGCCCTCACAGCCTCCTGGAGGGACACGGGAGGGGAGGCAGGGCTGAGAGTTAGACCTCGGCCGGAGTCCCCAACTGCCGGAGCACAGCGGTGCTCACGGGACAGCAGAGCCGTGTTGAGATTCCCTTGGCCAGAACCTTGCTTACTCTGGAGAGAAAGCAGGGACGGAGCCCGGGCAATGAACAGGACCAAGGAAACTTGCGGACAGAAACACTATTCAATAAAAACGAAAAGCAGAACTCAGTCACCATCAAAACACAAAGATTGCTCCAACTTAATTTTTATTAGTCCTTCATTCTCTCCAATATTACATGACTAGCTTCAAAAGTGAGCAAGCGAGTTTATTTTGATGATAAATATCATGGATTTAAATGGAATATGAGCAAGCGCAACTGGCGAAATCCTGCAGCTCTGGCAACGTCCCCCAAGGTGAGAGGCTGCCTTCTATCACGACACGGCCACTCCCAGTCACCACATGGCCAGGACTGGCGGTGAGTACAAAACGCTAGAAAACGCCGCACACCGAGGCCGGCGGGCTGGAGGGCGAGGCTCCCGAGTTGCATGTGCCTGAGGATCACGGGGGATCTCGTCTCCGACGCCGGCTCCAAGGTCGCATTTCCTCCTCTGCTCTCAGCTCAGGGAATGGGGCGTGTTGCTTAACGCGTGATCCGAGGAGTGCCCAGGAATCCTGTGGAAAGTCTAAATTCCTTGGGCCTCCTCCCCACTCTGCCCCAGATTCTTACGGGATAGACAGGGCAGGGCGGGGCGGGGGAGGGAGAGAGCACGGATCCATATTTTCCAGAAGCCTCTGGACCATTCTCGTCAGGTTTTCCCCAGCAGTGCTTTCAGGAACAAAACAGCCAAGTCCCACTACCGCCTCGGCGGCTGTCAGTGCTGAGCAGGCGTGGAAATGCCGTTTATGGGTTTTCCTAGTCTACCCCACACAAGAATAATTTTCCGCACTATTTCCCCATATGGGACTGAAAAACAGGAGCCAGGAGATGAAACTGCACAGGGAGCGGGACTGGCCACCATGACTTCGCTCCCTGGTGCCTCAGGGGCTCTGGGACCTCGGACATGTTGCCCAACATCTCTGAGTCCGTTTCCCAGGGGCCGTGGTGAGGACCGGGTGCACAGCCCCGGCCTGGCCCAGCTCGCGCCCGGCCCTCTCCTCCTCCACTGTTGTCAAGCTCCAGTCACCGGGAACAGGGAGGACACAAACGTCATTCTTCTGAGCATTATCACTCCATGAACGGGGTTGAGTGTGATCTCTCAAGGTGGAAATTGAAAAACTACTCAAACTGCCCAAAAAACTTCTAGATTAGCCAAATATCGACCCCTCGGCAGGCATGGACTTCAAAGAAACAGTATTTTTTAAAATAAATCCAGTCATGCAGGCTGACTCAGAGCAGTTGTTCTTCTTTGTCACACGTGCTATGCAATCACTGTAGTATAGAGCGTAGTAAGACAACCACAGGCACTGCCGTCTGGCCCGGCCCGAGGATGGGGGCTCAGACACGGGCCGCAGGAGTAACCCTTGAGTAACCCTCCGCCCCAGGCCTGGCCCCGAGAGAAGTGACCGTTCTGAGCTGAGTGCCTCTTGCTCTCCACACCTCTTCAGACCTTTCTACATGTTGAAACAACGAGGAGCGTCATGTTGCATGTTGTGACACTCCGTACACACCAGTATCGTGTTACACGTGCTTCTGCAACTGGCTGTTTTTCTCCCATCTTTGTTTTATATCTCCTTCCATTTCACTATGTTCCCCTCTAATCCACTCACTTCCACTGCCCCATCTCACCCCACTGGAGGGCTCTACCTACTGTATTCATCCCTCCCCTATAGATGTATATTCAGGCCATTTGCATAATTACAGACAAATGCTGCAGTAGACACACGTGCATGTTTATTCGAGTGCCCGTGACTGCAATCGTGGAGTCTGGGATGGGCACATCTCCCCCTCTACTCAGAATGTCACCCTGCATCCAGCGTGGTGGGATCGACGCCCACGCCCACCAGCAGTATTTGAGAATTCCTACCACGTCACGTCCCCACCAGATTTGGCATTGCCAGACTTTTTAACTTTTGCCGAACTCGTGGGTTGTGTTGCAGCACTGTCAGCCAAGTCCTTTGAATGGCCTACGAGGCCTTATACCAACACCACCTGCCTGCCACAATTCTGACCCCCACAGTACCCCACCACCCCTCTTTACCTTTATTCCTTAGTCCCTTCCTGGGCTGGCCACACCAACCTCCTAATGTCCCTCATATGCAGCAGGTGCGCATGCCTTGGAACGTCTGCGCTGGCCGTTCCCCCTTCTGCAGACGCTGTTCCCTGCACGCTGTCATGGTTCTCTCCTCGCTGTCTTCAAGTCTCTGATCAAATGTCACCTTCTCAACTCAGCCTACCAGGGCCACCTTCGTCAGAATCCCGCCCCATCCTTGCTCCTGGCACTTCTCCCCTCCCTGTCTTACTGCCACAGCCTCGATCACCTTCTACACCCTGTGCAATTCACTCACCAGCTGTTCCTTTGTCTCTCCCGAAGAGGATGTAATGACCCGGTGGCCAGGGATTTTTGTCAGTTCACTGACGTTTCCTAAGTTCCTAGGAGAGTGCCTGGCACATAGTAGGTGTTCATCCATGTTTACTGAAAACATGGATGGATGGACGGATGGCTTCAAGCCCCATTTGAGCTACCATCCACACTGCCTGCAATTTCTGAGCTTGGAAAACCTGTCTTCTTTTCCAGCTCGAAGAAAGATGTGATTCCTCATAAGCCTGTGACTTCTCCCGTTAAAACCACCTTTGTTGTTTTACTACTGCCATGTTTTCATCAGATATGTTTACATGTTCATTAACTCATGTAAACATTAATAAAAGGACTATGAAAACAGCTTCCTACACGTTTCTTCTTGCTTTCATTCAGGAATAATTAGACGAACACACCATATACCATACGTACCGATGGGGCAATCCCCTTTACTGTGCTTCCAGATGACGATTCCTCTCTGGGAATACACCCAAATACCAGATTTCTATACCCTCTCTACTCCCAATCTGCTCTGCCTTCTGAGTAATTCAGGGGTCCTCAAATAAGACAAAGCTTTGAAGCCCCTCCGTGGGACACAGTGGCCAACCATGTGCATTCTCCCCCGACATGGCCAAGGCCTCCTTCTCATCTGTAAAAGTGCTTTGCAAGAGAAGAGAGGAGGGAAAGACAAAAACCCATCATCTAACAGGTACAATTAACACTATTTAGGTGATGGACATATTTATAGCCCTGACTCAAGCCATGTATCAAAAACATCTGTATCCCCTTAATATTTTGAACTAAAAACAATTATTGAGGAAAGAAAAAAATTTTTTAATAAAAAAAATGAAAGTGCTTTGCAGAGTACAAGAGGATATTCAAAAATGCTTACCTCCTCCTTCACTGCACCCTTGTCACAACGACTCACCTATTTGGGAACACTCAACGCTGCTGAATATGACAGTGGCTTCTTGATCCTCTTCACCCTACCCAAGCCAAGCATGTTATCCTTCAAGTGGCCACTACGTCTCCTCGCACAGGAAACTCCCCCGAGTCGCGCATTAGTGTCCTCACGACAGCAGAGGAGCCTGCATGCTGAAGGGACGCCGGCAGCCTCTAGGTCAGGGCTATTTTCCTCCTGGCATCCTACCCGTCTAGGTCTCCAGCCTCCCTGACCTTAGGTGTGGCCACGCTCTGAGTTCTAACCAGGGGTTCTCAACTGGGGGGGTTTGGTCCCCCCCAGGGGACATCCAGCAATGTCTGGAGACACGGTTGGTTGACACAGCTGGAGGAGAAAGGAGGGTTCTGTTGGAACCTAGTAAGTCTCAGAGGCCAGGGAACACCCTGGGCAATGTTCCTCAATGCTCAGGACAGCCCCCACAACAAAACATACCCTTCACAGCTTTGTGCCTCTTTGGCCTGCTCAAGGCGTCCCTGGGGCTGAGACCCTGCACTAATCGTTAAGAGACCTGGTTCCAACCAATGGAATGTGAGCTAACGGTTGTCAGCCAATTCCAGTCTGGTCCATAAAAACCACCACAGCGTGTTCGCCAAGCTCTTTCCTCTTCTTCAGGCTTGGTGGGGGGAGCCCAGACATGTTGGAAGCCACACATTGAATATGGTACAGCCACTAAAGTGGGCAGAGCCTGCATCCCTAAGTTGCTGCTTGGATGACAACTCTCTGCCCATCAGTTGACACTCATTTTGAAATTTGAGTGAGAAATAAATTTCTAGCATGTTGGAGTTCTGGGTTTGTTCAATGAAGCAGTTGGCTTAGCTAACTCAAGCACAGATACTTTTACACGCTTTCTTCAGTAGGCTCCCTGTGTGGGGCTATGCTTTAGCCAGTCCCAGGAGGAGCAGACATCACCTGGGGGGCATCTGGACCAGCCAGTCCCATTTCACATGGGAGACAAACCTTCAGGGAGCATTTCCTGGGAAATCTATTTATAACTGATCCAACGAGCTGGTTTATGCAAAGACAGGGAAGGGATCCATGCGCCTGCCTACGTCTATGAGGGACTTTTGAAATTGGGACTTTTTCAATAAGATCTCTAAAGTTTACCTCTGGCCATTCTAGTCCTATAGGACTCAAATTAGAATTTCTATACTCGACTTTCTGCAAGTTTAGTTTAAAGATGTCTTCTCCCACCCAGTTATCTTAACTGGTCAGAGCTTTGTAAAAATAAATACAAGTTCCTATTTCTTTACAGACTTATTAGATGTGCCAATCATAGTGATCATTTACTGAGGAACTTGCTAGATTTAGCAGATAAAATATAGAGACATACTTACACTTAAAAATGACTCATTGCCCATCTGAAACTTAAATTTAAATAGGTGTCTTGCATTTTAGCAGGCAAGGCTATTCACTGAGCACTTATATTCTCCCAGGTATTACATGCGCGGTATCTTGAATGCTAAAAATAACACTAAGAGGGAAGCGCTGTTATCACCTTCACTTTCAACCGAGGCCACAGAATGCAAAGACCAGGTACTTTCCCTGGGTGGATCCCACCTGCTGTCGTGCACTGCTGGGATCCCAAAGCAGGCTCACTCCAAAGCTGGGACTCTTCTCACCTGCTTCAATGCACAGAAGACTGCCCGCAGGCAGGAGGAACTCCGGGAATGTTCTCGACTTCATCAGCCCTTTGAACCCTACAGAGAGCATGGTTTTCTTTTCTCAAGGGCACCAGAACATAGTAGCTGCAAAGGAACCTGAAGATGTGGTGAGAACGGTTAAGAATATTTCGTTCCGAACTTTCACGTTTCAGAACTATTGAAAAATACCTATGGTAAATAATATTTCCTTTTTAAAAGCTAGCATTTCTCCCAGAGATAATTAAATGGATGTGATACGCTTTCAGAAAATCTTAGGAGTTAACCCAGTGCGAAGATTAGGAGCACGGACTTAGAAGCAAGACAGGCAAGGGCTGGGACTCTGATTCTACCATCTCTGGGCTGTATGGACGTGGGCAGGCTACCTGGGCACCCTTCGTACCAGCAGTTTGCTGGCCTGTAAAATGGGAAGGTGCGGCCTCCATCAGGAGGTTTTGTGAGGGTCTAGTGGGGGGTGTTGCCCTCCCTTTACAGATAGGACCCCTGGGACACAGGGTGAGTCATTGAGGACACACTGCCAACAGGGGTGAAGAGGCTTCCAGAACAGGAAGGGATGGAGCCAAGAGCTCAGGCTCAGGGAGTGGGGGGAGCCCTCCGCTGCAACCCCCCCCATGCACCCAACCCCCACAACAGCAGGCGCAGCCAAAGAACCTCAGCACCCGTTCTCAAGAGGTTGGTCCTTCCACCTGCTGCCGTGGCTCAGAAGCAGGACTTGAGGAACGGGAGGTGCATCAGCCCACTCCTGACTGCTTCCTCGGGATCAGATGCGGCCACACGGGGATGGTGCCACTGGGGAAGAGCCGTCCCGGGAGTCCTTGGACGTCAAGTCAACAAGGCCAGGGGACAGAGGGCCTGGCCCTAACTATGAAACATAACTGCCCTACACTCAAGCTCTTCACGCCGTATGTGTTTTTAAAATGTTGAAATCGCCTTAAAACCTCGATGAAGAGAAGTGCGGCCTCTGAGCTGTTTCCATGCATCGTTTCTGCAGTGTCTGTGGCATCCAGCAGATGCTCTTACGGTTCAAACATACAATTGTCACGCACACGTGGACATCTGCGCATTGCAGGGACGCTGGCAGGAATTCCCATTGGCTACAAGAGATCCACAGTACATACCTGAGTATATACTAGACACAAAATGTCAAATAAAAGCCGTATTTCTTTTATAAATAAGGCACTTTTTGTTGGATGTGGGGATATGTTTATTTTTTAATCATTCGTTGTTCTGAGATTTTGGGGGAGTAAAAAAAAAACCCAAACAAATTATCAACCATTACAACTACAACAAATGAACAAAATTGTACTTAGAAACTTTAATATTTTTCCCCTAGTTTCTCTGCTGGAGGCCACTGTAGTCAGCAATGTAACAGACCAGCCCCAAAGGCAGTGGTTTAAGATAACAACGCATTCTCCTCCAGGCCCCTGGCCGGCTGGAGCGGGCACTCTCGCTCCGGTCTCGGGTGCGTGTGGTCAGTCGGCGGCTGGGGCTGCGCTCATCCTCCTGGGCTGGACGTCCAAGGGGCTCCCTTTACTCAGCGGGGATGGCTGGAGCGCCTGGGGCCGGCCCCTCCTTTAGCCCTTGCTGGTGTGGCCTCTTCATGCAGGCAAGACTTCCTCACAGCAGGGTGGCCTCGGACAGGTCTGCATTTGCTACATGATTGTAAGAGAGAAGCCAAAAAACCAAAAACTTTCAGACATTAACTGCCCCACTCTACCCAAACACCACGGAGAAAAACTGTGGCCCCAACTCCACCCCACCAGCAAAGGCCGAGTGGAGAGCCAGACTCAACCCCCACCCCCCCGCCAGCTTGCTGTCAGCAGGCACCACCAGCCTGAGCAGTAGGGTGGTGTCGGTGAAGGCAGCGTGGGGAGCAGACATTCGTCCCTGCTGGTGGGGCGTGAGCTCTCTCAACACAGCATCAGCAGAGGCTACAAGTCCACCCCCACCTAGGGGTAACGAGGCACTGCTCTCCCCCCACTGGGGTGGTCTCAGAGAGAGCTGAGTGAGAACCGGGAGATTCGACACCTTCTAGTGGTAAGAGGGCTTCTCCCCTCCAGTGTCAGTGGGGACAGGTGGGGAGAAGGAGGGAGGTGCCTGCCCCCTCCCAGCCAGGGTGGCCTCAGCAGAGGCCTGCTGTAACAGAAGACTTAAATAAGCTCCAGGGTCTCATAGCTTAACCCCCAAAATGTCTAAGTAAAATCACTTCCCATTCCAATAATCAGGAAAAGCTTAACTTGAATGAGAAAAGACAACCAAGAGTTGCCAACACCAAGTAGACATGGATGCTGGAATTATGTGACAAGGATGCTGGAGGAGACATCGTGAAAATATTTCAAGGAGTAATTACCAATCTGAGAAAGAAAGAGAAAGAAAGAAAGAAAGAAAGAAAGAAAGAAAGAAAGAAAGAAAGAAAGAGAAAATCTTAGCAAAGAAATAGAATATATAAGAACCAAGGGGAAATTTTAGAACTGAAAAATACAACAACCAAAGTAAAAACTCAAAAGCAAAGTGGAGGGGGCAGAGGAAACAGTAAGTGAACTTGAAAATAGAACAATAGAAATTACCCAATCTGAGCAACAGAGAGAAAACAGATCTTGTAAAAAATGGACAGAGCCTTGGGCACCTGTGTGGCTATAACAAAAGATCTCACATCAGTGTCATCACAGTCTCCAAGGGGAAGAAGAGGAGGGCAGGGCTGAAAAAGCATGGGAAGAAAATACTGGCTGCAAATGTCCAGAGTTTGGCAAAAGAAGCTGAAAGAGAATAACCTCAAACGGAATAAACAGAACCTCAAACAGAATAAACCTAAAGAAATCCATAGCAAGCTATATCATAGGCAAACTCCTAAAAACCAAAGACAAAAGGCAGAGAGAGAGAAACAACACCTTACCTGCAGGGAAAAAAGTAATTCGAATGACAGGATTTCTCCCGAGAAGCTATGATGGATGGAAGGAGGGAGCATACACAACATGCCAAGTGCTGCAAGAAAAGAACTATCAATCCAGATTTTTTTTTTTTTTTTGAGACAAAGACTCCCTATGTTGTCCAGGTTGGCCGTGAACTCCTGGCTTCAAGCAGTCCTCCTGTCTCAGTCCCCTCAAGTAGCTGAAACCACAGGCTCTCCACACTGTGCTCAGTTCAACCCAGAATTGTATATCCAGCAAAAATGTCCTTCAGGACTGTGGGGGGAAAAACAAGTTTTCAGATGCGGGAAAACTAAGAGAACATGTCACTAACAAACCTACCCTAAAGGAATGCTTAAACACTGCTCCTGAAATAGAAAGGAAATGATAAAAGAAAAAATATTGGAGTGTCAGGAAGCAAGACAGAACAAAGGAAAAAGTAAAAATGTGAGTAAATATAATACAATTTCCTTCTCCTCTTTAATTTGTAAAATCAAACAAACGTACAGTTCCTTAATGGGTCCATGTTGGCTCACCCAGTAGTTTGCCCAGGCAGGGCTGATTTAAGAAGCCAGTTATTTATCTGAGTTTCTCAAATTGTGGTCCCTGTACCACCTGCATTGGCTTCCCCTCAGGACACTCAAAATGCTATTTCCCGGGCGGGTTACCAAACCCACCGTGTCGGAATTGGTAGAGGTGGGCCCAGGATTCTGGGCATAAACATGTGATTCTTACATACGCTAAGGCTTTAAAAGTCCTAAGGTCTGAGTTGACCTTTGGTTAATGAAGGCCAAGCTAAGTCACTCGGTATTAACTCTGGAGGAAAGTGAGCACAAAGTGCTCTGCAAATTCCTGGCTCTGGGCAATCCAGCCATCCAGGGTGAATAAAATTCAAGGTGAAGAGTGTGAGCAAAACCAGCCCTGCAGTCAAGGTCACCCACCTCTGCACCTCGGCAGGGAGCTGTCCCAGGAAGTGTAGGCTGGAGTCTAGGCCACCAGAGAGGGGTCTGTCATTCATCTCTGCCTCAGTTTCTTCCTCTGTGAAATGCAGGCGGCATCTGCCTTTCCAAACTCTCTGGGTCACTGTAAAGAGTAAAGAGGTGAGCGGCACGCAGGCTTGCAAGAGGTTAGTTATTCTCAGCCCCCGTGAACGTTTGCCCTGCCCTTAGAGAGGGCCATCGTGTTGCCTTTTCCTTTGAAATAGAATGTCTTTGTGTTCTTCTCACAGACTCAGAGAAAGGCAGGCATGCTGGTTAAAGTTAACCGTATGGGTAGTTCACTGGTCTTTCCTCCAGGGTCCCGCAGCTTCAGTGTAATGAGAGGCCCGGGTGTCAGCGGCCTCTGGAAGATCTAACGACCCCGCAGAGCTGAGCAGGGCGTCGCGCGCTCTGGCAGCTCCGGTGCAAATCCCCGGCTCTGAGCCCAGGGCTGCTCCTCCAGGAGCCCCTACAGGTCTCTGCTGCTCGCTTGTAGTGTCCCCAGCTGTCCCTCCCTAAGGATACTGCCCTAGGTCTTGCCCCATCCCATGGAACCGGCAGTGGTGACACGTGACAGGCGCGCGGCTGGGGGCTTGCAGAACCCTGGAGTGCGCACTCCCTCTAACCTGGGAGGAGTAGGTATGCAAATTGTCATTTTTGTGGGGAAGGGGGCAGAATCTGGGAGTGAAAGCCTTAAAGATGCGGGAAGAGAGGGAAGTAACGGGGAGGGGGCGTGGAGAGGATGTCAAACGATTGGAAAAACAAGTCTCTCCACCAGCCAACGCGCGCAGCGTCGCGTGGGCACCGCTAGTGTGCGTGGGCGATGGGCACGCCGGCCTCTCGGGCGGGAAAGGGCAGAGCCCACAGCTCTGCGGGCACAGGACGTGCGTCCACCCAGGGCGCCCCGGCCCCGGCCCCAGGACAGAGCGCGCGGGCGCGGCGGGGTGGCTGCCCCGGCGGGGCGCGCACGTGGTGCGGGGCGGGCGGGTTCCTCCCCACTGAAGTCATGGACTTGGCTCGCCGCGGCGGGGCCGGCGCGCGAACGAGGCTAAGGCCAAAAAAAAAAAAAAAAAAAGCGCACACAATGTGTTTCTTGTTAGGGACTCGCAAGCCGCGGCCTCGGGTTTTGCCTTCGGTGCCACATTATAATATTAAGCAGCAGTTTGATTCCGGACGAGCCCGCCCTCGTCGCCGGCCGCTGCGGATTGCGGCGGACGCCGGTGGGCAGACAGGGGCGGCCGGGGCGCTGCGCGCGGGCGCGGGGGCGCACAGCGGACTGCGGGGGGTCCCCGCGGTGACCCGGTCGCCCCGCGGTGGCCAGACCCTGCGACGCAGGCCTCCGGGCGGCGCAGACTCGGTGACGCCAGCCTCGCTCCCGCCAGCTCGCGGGCAGCCCGGGATTGTTTTCCAAGACCTTATCTCTCGCTCGAGTTAATTTTCTTTTTTAATTTGGTGACCGGAACAAAAGTCACAGGAAAATCCTTTGCGAAAGCTAAACGCGGCCACGCATCGGGGCAGTTCGCAGTATTGGCAGCAAAATATTTGCAGTTCCTGGTAGTTAAATCGGCCCCTCCGCCAAACTTCCCAGACTTTGCTTTCTTTGAACGGAGCTGAAAGGTGATCTCCCTAAAAGGGGCTCGGACGTTTGCGAGCGACTGGATTCAGCACGGCGTTTTACCCGGGGCCCTGGACACCTCGGAGCCTCGGGACCGCGGGAATCCTAGAAGGAATTATGGCCGGACCGTCTGCCATTGTAGTAGCTGAAACGCTCTGTTAATGCCATTTATTAGCTGTGTGCGACAAGAATTGTAAGAAGTTGGGCAGGTCTTCAAAAACACCCAAAAGGAGAAAAATAAACATCCCTTGTTTGCTTTTTGTGGCTTTGCTCATTTTCTTCCCCTCTCGTAGTCCTTCATCTAAGGCCTTTTTAAACCCAAATTCGGTTATCTGGTTTCAGGGTTAGGGCTCCCTCTTGCCAAGGTATTAAATAAACAAGTAAAGCAAAAACTCGAATTCTTATATAATCCAGATGCTGTTTCCTCGAAAACCACAACAAACGCTGCTAAACCAGATAGCTGGGACCGGGGACGGTGGCGCCAACCCCCCCCCCAAACACACACACACTCCCTCCCCGGTTTTAGGGCCAGCAAAGGACATTTATGTTGGGGAACTCCTCTCCAGGACAGACGATAAATGACTGCTGCTAATACTCTAAACTGCAGACCAGCACCCTTGAGGGGTCCGGATGCCATGAGCTGTCCGGGAATGTTGGCATCTGGTTCTTAAAACGGAACTTTCCCCTGGAGATAGAGCCGGGGCGAGGAGGCGTCTGCATCTGCAAGCAGCCTTGGAAGTTTCTGGCCGCTTGATGTTCTCACTCGAGAGCGGTACATTATAAAGGGGTTCAGTCTGGCCCCCGCTCTGTAGTGGTAATGAGAACGCAAACGCGGGCCGCGCTCCACGGAGCCAGAGGACCCGGGCTGCACATCCTCCTGCCTCCCCGGGGGCGGGGAGGGGGCTGTTCTGGAAAAATCTAATGAGTTCCAAGGAAAAAGGCAGTAGGACGGTGGGGGGCGGGAGTGGGGGGTCCTTCAAAGGTATTTTTAGGAGTCTGGGATCAAAGCCATCCGGCGAGGACCAAGATCCAAAGGAATAAATAAATCCCGCCATGCGCTAAGACAGTGACCTTCTCCCCATCCACCTCCCTCGCGCCAACCCCACCCTGAACGCCTCGGTTGCAAAAGCAAATAAAATAAAGCAAAACCTTTTCCTTTGGCAACCTCTAAGCCACGTTATGCCTCCTTTAGCAAAAGGAAGATTTCTTTCTTCTCCCTCTCCCGGCTTTTTTGCTTTGTCCTCCCCCCTCTCCCTTTCCCTTCCCTGTCCTCCTTCCTTCCCAAATCACTCGAAACTTAAGACGTGCAGCGGCTGCAGGTGCGCGCGGGCCGGCGGCCGGGCCGGGGCGAACCTGGGACTGCCGGGCCTCGCAGGCATTGATCAGCTGGGCGCGCGCGCTGAGTGACGGCGCGGTTGCCATGGCAGCCGCCTGAGCGGCGCCGCGAGGACAAGGCTGCAGGGCGGCGTGAATGGGCGGCGTCACGCGCCTGGCGCCAGAGAGTCTGCTCCGGGGCTCCGGCTCCGGCCCCGCCGCGGCCTGGCCCGCGCGCCGCCGCCGCCGCCGCCGCTGCCAATTCATCACCTGTCAGGGATCACTCGGGGGGTCACGGGCGGAATGGACACAGCTGTGAGAACAAAACCGGGGGAAGAAAGGCGAGCGCTCCCCGTGGCGCCAGATGTGCAGGGAGGACCTTGAGCCTCCCCCCGCCCCCGCAGGCTGCTCCCGCCCCCGGCTGCAGCAGGCGGGGGCTGCCAGCGCGGCCGGCGCGCCCGGCCCGGGCTGCTTCTGATTACGGCGCGGAGCCCCGCGCGGCCTGCAGGAGAGAGGCTGCGTGGGTAAGCCCTGCGCCCGGCGAAGGGAACCCCGGGCAGCTCTCCGCTGCCCACGGGGGCGTCTCTGTGTCCCTGCGGGTAAGGGGGGGACGCCGTCTCCACCCCCGCCGGAAGCCCTTCACACCTTCGCACCACCCACGGGGCTGGCCCTTCCTGCAGCTGGGGCCATTTGAACTTTGGAGGCCTCGGGAGCAAACCCACACAGACACCGATTGACAGATCTTTAAGTGCTTTTCAACCCACCCTGAAAAAGCTCCAGCTCCATGTTCCGCCACAAAAACGTAACTTTTAAGGTGATCGCCTGCCGGGCTAGCTGAGACAGACATATTAGCAACTGAGGCCTCTTTCCAATCATTAACTTATACAGCTTCATAATCCCCTTAAAATGATCTTTAAATGAATGTACAACTGGGTAGCGTGCCAACAGATTCGAATCGACACGGCCCAGCACACTGGACTCTGGCATGGCAGCTAAAGAAAGAAACGCCAGAAAACTTTCACCATATTTAGCAATTTTACTACATCAGGGTACAAAAAAAAAAAAAAGATCATGGGAGAAGGCGCTGCTTTAATCAACTTTGCAAAGTGTACAGTAATACTGCACAACGCTCGTCGCCATCCAGCCCAGAGCCTGGCTGCTAGGATAATGAGGCTGGCACGGATGCTAACATACGGTGTCCTTGGAGAGAGCTAGGGATGCGTCAGTATCGAGGAGCTGCAATGTCCAAGAATCATAAGTAATAATTTGAGAATCCCAAAGATGTTTGTTTACATTGGCTATTATTGTAAAATAGTCAAAGTATAACATCATGAACCAAAATAGTGTCAAAACAAAATCTGTTCCACTGTGGCACGTATGTGACAGAAACACATGCACACAAAGTACATCAAAAGGCTCGAACTGTGGGGGACTCAGATAGTAAATCACTTCCAGACTTAATATCAGAGATGTTTGTTACTCAGAGCGCCGTCAGGAACGGAGTTGCGAGGCTTCTGCCGGGCCTAGCGGAGGCGCTTCTCTTCTGGGCTGGGCAGGGAACCATGCACCTGCATCCCAGACCGGAGTGGCCGGACTCCCCCAAGGTGATATCCACCTCAGCGCCACGGTCTCTGCCTCCCAGGAGAGGAGCCCTGGGGCACATTGCTGTCACGTGGAGGTCAGAGACCGCCTGGCCCACCAGCTGAGGAATTAATCATTAATTGAAGGAAAAGCCTTTTTCTCCATTATTGAGCTTTGCTTTCAGCTTCTGGTTCTGCCTCTTTCCTTTCTTACATGCAGAAGAGGTGGAGATTGAGACAAAAAGCAAATAAGATATGAATGTTCCCTCTTCTGGGGTTTTCTAGTTTGTTTTCCAGAAAAATATCATTTTCAAAACGTGAAACTAATATACTGTGGTTTTGTTAAGCTAGAATTAACGTGTCAATTAACAAAGTATTTGAGTAAATAGCAGCAAACTTTGTATTTAGATTGAGTTCTTAGAGATCTACAGAAAAAAAAAAAAAGCAAAAAAAAACCCTGAAGCTCCATCCAGCACTAGTGCTGAAAAAATTCCAAACCTCATACAAGACAGATTTTTTTTTTAAAAAAAAGTGTGAGATGTCAGTCAGTGGTTTGGGCGACCTACCCATCACAAAGCTTTGACTGTTACTCTAGGTCCCAGACTGTGACACCAGAAATCACGATTCGTGCATAATTAATCACCTTACTTTGCCACCTACACTGAAGGGCACATCGGCAGCTCTTCAAGGGCAGTGTATGTAAATGTAGTTTCAATATGCAAATCATCCTAATGATTTCCGATTAATAGGATCATTGCAGTAGCCCTGCCTCCTTCTTGAAAAAGGACCCGGTAAAGCGCCCAGCCTCTGCGCTCGGCGACCGACGCGAGCTGGACACCGGTTCCAACAAGAACTCCTTTTACTGCGTGTACAGGAACGCCTCCCGCGTTGCTCCGGGCTGCAAAACCCCACACCAAACCTGTCCCTGAATGTGTACGTGGGTGGCTTATTTGTTTTAACACTTTTCCTTCCTTATCTTAGAAGACAACCCAGCCTGCAAACGGGGCTTTTCGGTGGCAAACTTATTTGCGTTTTCGCTTTCTTCCGAAACGCTGTCTTTCCCGACGCTCTCCGGTGGCTTGCAGGGTGCCGTGGCTCTCCCTGGCCGTGCACAACTCGCCCGTGTCGCTGTGATTTTTAGGGCTGCTGGAGTCTCCGAGGGGTGCAGGGCTTCGCGGGGGCACACCCGGGGCGAGGGTCCGGCCGCGCGTGTGCGACTGGCACGAAGCGCGCACCCCGGGGCGCCGGGCCTGCCCCTCCCCCGCCCGCGCGCCGTACAGTACTCTATTTACCGCCCCAGCTGGGCGCGCGCCGCGCCCCGCCCCCCCCGCGGGATTGGCTGCGAACGCGGAAGGACCGAGCGCTCGCCCCGCGCCCGCGCCTGCCAATGGGGGCGCCCGCTCGGCCTGATGGACGCGCCACCTTCCACCAATGGGGGCGAAGGGAAGCCCGAGCGTGTAGCCCCGGCGAGGGCGCATAAAAGCCGCCCCGCCGGGCTCGGGCTTCATTCTGAGGCGAGCCTGGTGCCGAGCGCAGCTAGCTCAGCAGGCGGCGGCCTGAGCTCCAGGGCAGCCCGCTCCCTCCCGGTCCCTCCTGCCACCGCGGTCAGCATGAAAGCCTTCAGCCCGGTGAGGTCCGTTAGAAAAAACAGCCTGTCGGACCACAGCCTGGGCATCTCCCGGAGCAAAACCCCGGTGGACGACCCCATGAGCCTGCTGTACAACATGAACGACTGCTACTCCAAGCTCAAGGAGCTGGTGCCCAGCATCCCCCAGAACAAGAAGGTGAGCAAGATGGAAATCCTGCAGCACGTCATCGACTACATCTTGGACCTGCAGATCGCTCTGGACTCGCACCCCACTATCGTCAGCCTGCACCACCAGAGACCCGGGCAGAACCAGGCGTCCAGGACGCCGCTGACCACCCTCAACACGGACATCAGCATCCTGTCCTTGCAGGTAAGACCTGCCCCTGGCGCCGCCGCCGCGCACTCCCCGCTCGCCGCGGCCGGCCGGGGCGGTCACTGGCGGATCCGTTGCTCAGACGGTGACTTTCAGATGAGCTAATTAACTTTCTTTTCCTAAAAATCTGCTGGAGATCGAGCTGTGCGTGAAATTTCTAACAAGTTCTGATATGTTAATGCGTCTGTCTTTGAATATGAATTGTAGCGTCAACGTGCTTAATGAAACTTAGGGTCTATGGAGTACTAAAAAAAAAAAAAGAAGAAGAAGCAGCCCTTTCTCCTTAAGATTGTCTAACATCTTGCCTTTTATCCTCTTTCTCTCCAGGCTTCTGAATTCCCTTCTGAGTTCATGTCAAATGACAGCAAAGCACTCTGTGGCTGAATACGTGGTGAGTGTTTGCCTGTGCCACCCGTTGGTAAGCTGCCTCTTGGTGTGTGTGCTTGCGCACGTGTGTTTTTGTCATTTGCTTGTGTGACGGTACTTGCGTATCTGTAAAATGTTTGATTTAGTAAATGCGTGCTTACTCCCGGCATTACCCGTAGTATAATTGTCTCACTAGACATGAAGGGGCTTGTAGCTCTGGACACTGAAGATCACACAACATTTAAAAAAGAAAATACATATATATATATATGATGCCGAGGAAAGTGCATTGGCTTTTGCAGCGAACGCAACGCCCTGCCTGGCTCTTTCTGCTGTTGCTCTGGTACTACGAGGTGCTAACCTCCACTGTAATTAATCTTATCGCCAGAAATTCCATAGTGATCCGCCTTCCCTAAGACTGTAGTCCTCTGGTATTCTCTGGGCTAGCTAGGACCGCGGCCCTGTGATGTGATCCCGGACTTCCCTATCTGTTCGCTGAAGGGCTGTTTTCAATCAAATAATTGTTACAAGAAGCAGACTGGCGCCTGTGAGCACTGCTGTCGGAGATGCATGTAGGAGATTGGGTTGGGAAGTTTTCCCCTTGAGTCCCTGCTATTTTAATGTTTAATTTGCACTGTCGAGGCCGAGTGTGTGGTGTTGCGTCTGGACGCCAGGGTTTGCCCAGTCTTCGGGCGTTTGGTTAAATGTTCAAACTGTGGCTTCCTGCAGGCGCCAGTCTGGCCGCCCCTGCCCGTAGGTTACATTCTCCTAAACGTGCCTTTCTCTCCCAATCTCTTGCAGGTGTTAATGACTTTTTTTTTTTCTTTGCACAACAACAACAACAAATCCACAGAATCGTTTAAGGCGCTGAACTTATTTTTCAATCTTTTCACAAGGAGAACAAAAACAAGTTGAATGGACCTTTTTTAAAAAGAAAAAAAAAATGGAAGGAAAACTAAGAATGATCATCTTCCCAGGGTGTTCTCTGACCTGGACTGTGATATTCGTTATTTATGAAAAAGACTTTTAAATGCCCTTTCTGCAGTTGGAAGGTTTTCTTTATATACTATTCCCACCATGGGGAGCGAAAACGTTAAAATCACAAGGAATTGCCCAATCTAAGCAGACTTTGCCTTTTTTCAAAGGTGGAGCGTGAATACCAGAAGGATCCAGTATTCAGTTACTTAAATGAAGTCTTTCAGTCAGAAATTACCTTTTTGACGCAAGCCTACTGAATGCTGTGTATATATTTATATATAAATATATATATATATTGAGTGAAACCTTGTGAACTCTTTAATTAGAGTTTTCTTGTATAGTGGCAGAGATGTATATTTCTGCATTAAAAAGTGTAATGATGTACTTATTCATACTAAACTTTTTATAAAAGTTTAGTTGTAAACTTAACCCTTTTATACAAAATAAATCAAGTGTGTTTATTGAATGGTGATTGCCTGCTTTATTTCAGAGGACCAGTGCTTTGATTTTTATTATGCTATGTTATAACTGAACCCAAATAAATACAAGTTCAAATTTATGTAGACTGTATAAGACTATAATAAAACATGTCTGAAGTCAACACCTGAATTCTGAATGGTTTTTAAAATCTCTCTTGCTCACTTCTCTCTCTGTCTCTCATTGTTTCCTTTAACCCCTTCTCTCTAGTCCCCTCCACGTCCCCTGAGCCTTGGGACTTGTGCGCAGAGACTGTCCTCACCAGTTGTGTGGTCAGGGCCAGGATGGTGGGGGAGGGGCCGGGAAGGCCATAAACACGTAGGCTTTTCTTCTGTCCTTAAGGGACAACTTAGTTCTGTGTCTTGGGGGTGAGTTTAAACCTAAGAATGAGTTGTAGGTTGTGACTCCTAGGAGTTAGGTCATGCAAAATAAATGTGGAGTCTGGAAAGATTACCTGTCCGAGTGGGTGGGTGTTAAGACACTTCTCTGGAATCAATGAAACCGCTTGTTGATCACGAGAAGAAAAGAGGCCGGACAGAATTCAGAACATGACTTGAGTCTGAGAAGCAAAAGGCCCGCGGGGCGTCACTGTGTGGCGCGGGAAGGAAGCTGCCCCTAAGCCAGACCTGCGGCTGCCGCCCTGCCGCCTCCACCTGCGCTCCCGCGGGCCCCAGACTGCCCCTCGCCCTTCGCCCTTGACTGCCGCCCTGGACTGCCGCCCTGGACTGCAGGGGGGGCGGAGAAAGACCTCTCCAGTCGGAGAAAGCGTCCCAGCGCGCCGTGCCGTGTCCGCTGCAACCCTCAGGCGGCGACACCGCGCCCCTGCTTCAAAACAGATACTTGATACAGACAAGCGTTTGCAACTCATTCGCACAATACATTCATATTCTACTAATATTCCCAAACGGGAAGGCACTAATATGGGTGCGAAAGGGGAGGAGGGGGAGGTTCTGGAAGGCCACCTCGGACCAGGAGCTGGACGAGGGGAGAGGTGTCTCACCTGGGCCCGAGCAGGTGTCCGAGTGGCGCCACCGAGTCTGCGCGGGCCGCGGCGGCTGCCTGGCCCAGACACCGCGTCCGTCGCGGGGGCGCGGGGAGGGGGACGGGAGAGGGCCGGGGAGGGGGACGGGAGAGGGCCGGGGAGGGGGCCGGGGAGAGGGCCGGCCCCAGGAGGCGGGCTCTGGCCGCCGCGCTGGGCAGGAGACCGGTCTGGACCAACCGGGGCGGCGGGCCACCTCCAGGACTGTCACCTGAGGTCCCGGTCACCTGCCGCGGGCCGCAGGCCCCGCGCGACCCGCCACCTGCGTGCAGCCGGGCCCGGCGGGGCGGGGCGGGGCCGGAAGCGCGCGGACAGGTCGCTGCCCCGACCCCCGGCCTGTCCCCCGGGAGGGGACAGACAGCAGCGCCTCGGTCGCCCCCAACCTCGGCGACTCGCGCGTCGTCTGCTCGTTCGGCCCCCGGGGTCTGTCCCCGGACGGAAGCCGCGCGGTCACCGGGCGCCGTCCGCCCGTTCGCGCCAGGACCCGGGGCCGCCGCGGCCGGGACGCGGCCCCTGTCGGCGACTCCTCCCGCCGAGCCGCCGCCCTCGCGCCCGGGCGGTGGAGGCCGCGCGCCACCTGCCGGCCGGCGCGAGGACGGCAGCTCGCGCGCCCCGGGCCCGGGCCTGGGGAACCCGCGGGGCCGTCGGCGGGAGCACGGGCGGAGACCGCCGGGACGTGCAGCAGTTTCTAAATGAGCGGAGGTAGCGCGAGGATTCCACCTCTGGCATGTGCACAGGCGTTTCCACATGTGGATCTTACTTCACCGCTACTAATTCCTAACACATAGGAGCCCCTTCTGCAAACCTGGACCTGCCGCTGAACTCCACTCTAGGTGCTGGCCCGGACTTTTAATACAGGATCACACAGGATCCCGGGCCTGGAAGAGGCGGTGACTGCATTGTGGAAGTAAATAAGTTGTAAGTCAAAATGACAGCCAGAATGCTTCCTGTCTCTTTCCTTAAGTGGTTTTTTTATTATTATTATTATTTCATTTTTTTTTTCTGAACTGCTTAATAACATTAATGAGGACCTCTAACATTACCTTAAAGTAACTGGAGGTGAGAGTGGGCATCCCTTTCTTATTGCAGATCTTAATGAGAATGGATCAGCTTTTCTCCATTATGTATGATGTGGCTCTAGGCTTCTGCTGCAATGTATACTGTTTCTCAGTTTCTGGAAGACCTCTTCAACTGCTAGGTCTGTTGGGTTTTGGTTGGTTTTGGGGGGAGTTTTTTGTTTTGTTTTTGAGAACCTTAAATCATAATTTGGGGTTCAATTTGTTAAAATATTTTCATTGCATTTATTTATAATTTTCTCTGGGGGACTATACTGAATTTTCTGATGCTGAGCTAGCTGTGCATTTCTAAAATAACTCCAACATGGACATGAGGTATTATTACTTTTTATACCCACTGTGGCTTCTGTTAGCCAATTTTTTTAAAGAGATGGAGTCTTGCTGTTACCCAGGCTGGATTCGAACTCTTGGGCTCAAGTGATCCGCCTGCCTCAGCCTCCCAAGTAGCTGGGACTACAGGCACACTAGGGTGCCTGGCTTGTTAACCAATATTTTATATGGAATTTTTGGAAATGAAATAGAGCTTCAGTTTCTTTTCTTGTACTGTCCTTATCTGGTTTTACAATCAAGATCACACTAACCTCAAACAATGAATGTGCAAGTCACAGTTTACATTTAATTTTAGTTTTCAAAGGCATGGGTGTGCCCTTGGAGGTAGGCTGACATGTAATCTATCCATTTTACAGAAACTGGACTCAGAGATGTGTAGTGAGTGGCCAACAGCATTCCACCAGTCAGTGAATAGACCATCGCAGTCCAGGGCCTTTTTAGGAATGTGAAAATGACTTCCAAGTAGAGGGCAAAGATATAGACTCTAAAAGAAAATAATACTCTTGTCAATAGGGAGCTATTTTATGGAGCTTTTAAAATTCAAGGATAATTATTAATGAGGCTCTCTGCAAAATAGGCACACACTCCCGGAACTATCCAGGTCCCCTTTAGCTGGATTCTGTACATACACTTCCAATTTCTGATGCACTTTGCTACTGGAAGGGGGGTTCCAGGCTTTGAACATCTTTCTGGGCGATGGTTCTTGCCCAGGCTTTGGATGTCTTTCTATTTCATCACAAAGATAATTTGGGGCCAGAGGCAGTAGGATGATTTGAACTAAAGTAGGCGCTATGAGGAGTACCACCTGAGGTTGCAAGAAATGAAGGGGATTTCCCCCCAGAGGACGTACATGAAAGAGAGAATGGAAAGGCTGTGGGAAGAGTGTGCACACATTCATGGGAGTCCAGCGTGGGGTTGCAGATCTCAGTAAACTAGGGCATTGGCCATTACAGGAACTGGAGACAAGGTTTTGCAATCATGTGAAGCAAAGCATTGGAACTGAGACCACCAAATAGGACCCTTGGTGGCCTGAAGTCTCAGTTAGAGAATAGAAAAAAAAAAATACTCATTAACTCAAGAAGATCATAAGGAAGCCCATGTGTCAGCCTGAGCTCAGGTGGGACTGAAAGTCTCCTTTGAAAATTTTTAACCATAGATCTGTCCTTATGGGGGATGGGGATTCTAATATATACTACCCGTTTGGTTTTAGAAATTCTTATGTTGAGAAATTAACATAAAAATGGGTTCCTGGCTGGTGATACCCTGGGGGTGCCTAGCAGTGGCAAATGCAAAGCTTCTCAGTAGAGAAAAATCCTCAATGCACACTACACAGAATTCTCACATTTAATAGTTGGGTTAAAGTCAGTTTACAACTTAAAAATTTAAAAAACACTGGAAACAATTTACTATAAGGAGAATCAGTAGATACAATGAAGAGAAAGATTGAGAACAAAAGAACAATGAAGTCGATCCAGTAAGAACAACTAAAATGATTAAAGAATTAATTTAAAAACACAAAATCATAAGATAGAGTACTATATAAAAAAAGAATAGGAAAAATTGAAAATGAGCAAAATAGAAGTAATAAATATAGTTATTGGAATTGAAAATTCAATGAAGAGTTTAAAACCCAGATTAAATACAACTAGAGAGAGAATTAATGAACTGGAAGATGGATCTGAAGAAATTACTTAGATTAGAGCACATAGAGATAAAGATACCATAAATATGCAATCAAGGTAAGAGACACAAAGGATAGAAGGAGAAAGTCTAACACGTAAGACAGACGTTACCCATGATTTCGGCGATAGAAAAGGGTACATCCCAGTAAGCTAGCAACTTGAATGTTAGACATGTCTGTTCTTAAAAGCTTTTAGTCAAGCTAGTATTCCACATGTAAATATGTTCCAAAAATTGAGAAGAAAAATTTCAATGATACAATACAATTGAAAATGGACATACTTTTTTTTTTGCATATGTTTGGGAATGTTCATGATAAGTAAGTTAGGAAAAAAACCCAGTCTTCTGTCCACTCTAGCATAGGGACTCCCCTGCAGCCCACTTTTCCACAATGGTCCCAGCTTCCTGGCATGTTGCCTGGCAACCTCAAGGTTTACTTTCACTGGCAGACCAATCGAACTCTCTGCCCTTCCGGCTCTGAGCTGCCTTCACACCTACCGAGACACCTCACTGCTTCAGAAGGGACACCTTACGTGGATCTCACTATCCGACTCACAAAGGAAAAGTGGCCACCACCGAGGAAAGTCCTGCCTTCCCTTCCTCTTCGCCCCGCTGCAGCTATAAGTAGAAGAGACCAGCGTGTGTATCTCCGCATGTGATTATGCCATCTCTCAGACTGCATAAATAGTTAGTTTTAAATAACTCTCCACCTAGAGGTAATGCTGTCAATTTTATTTTACATATACAATCTTCTAAATAAGTTTCATCCCTTCTGGAGGAAAGTTCTTAAACATTCACACATTCCTTCAAACTTTTCATGTTTCACAATCCTATGAAAGCAATGCAAGCAACAAAAAAGGAAAGGCCATTCTTAATGTTCTAATTTTACCAGAGTTCGCCAAAGCCTACCAGGGGGAAAAAATACTCATAAAAAATGTCAACTGAAACTTTAATCCCCTAAAGTAAAATATTTTAAAAAGTGAAAAATTTCAAGTTTACATTTAATGTAAACTGGTTGAGTTGGTCCAGTTTAAAAATGTCTTGACTGAGAGAGAAATTTCTGGACCAGTTTGCCAAGCCCTGGCTTTGAACCTGACAATGACTTTTGACCGTCCTCCCCAAACAGGAAGATGCCCATGAGAACTCTCACCGCAAACTCCATCTGATGAGAAGCATTCCAGATCACACAGGCTTAAGGATAATATCGTAGGATTCTTTCCACTAATGGCTTCCGCTGGACAGGCTGTGGTCTGCAAGGACAAAAGGTCCACCTAGCAAGCTGCCCCTGCTAAAATAAAGGGACACTTCTTCCCACTGGTGTGTTGATGGTGTTAACACTGGATTTACTTATTAATCCATTTATTCAGCATTGTCAGATGCCTGGCATTGAGGTGCTGTGGACCCAGGGGACCAAACAGGCAGGGACAGGCAAGCTCTGTCCCTGAAGAGCTTCATTCCAGAAATGGGAGACAGCCCATAAACAGGTATTACATAGGAGACATATTAACATATGTGCATATATGTGGGTGGTGAGTGCTATGAGGAAAAATAACGCAGGGAAAAAGGAGAGACACCCTAGGCTACCAGTACCGTGTTTCCCCGAAAATAAGACAGGGTCTTTTTTTTTTTTTTTTTTTGGTTTTTTTGGTTGATGTGGGTGATTGTAGTTCGACAGTTGGCACGTTGCCTCTGGGAGTTTCGACGAGCGTATGGCCGGAGGTTGTTTTTGGGCGAGGGCATTGAATGTACTGCGTGATCCCTTGAGCGATTGAGGATTACTGCGTGAGCGTAGGGCGACATGCCAGGCAGGCGATGTCTAGCTCCAGGTGTGGGAGAGCGAGGGAGAGTTCGTCGTGGTGGGCGAATAAACATAAAAAAAGAAGAACAAAAAAACAGAAACAAGCTTCATTGCAGATCCGTCGACTCCTGGTCTCAAGCAATCCTCCTGCCTCAGCCTCCCAA